ACTTATGGAAACCCCAAGCACAACAGGATTGGATAATTGTGATCCAGAGTGTTTTATTTTGGGGCCTTTCTTCCTAGTTCATCTTAATCTGAAAATGATGCAGAAACTTGTTCAGCATCTTAGCAACACACAAGTAGCCACGGATAGTGAATGAGAAGGGATCGAAACTAAGTGTTCTGCATGAAAGTTGAAGAGTTTACCAGGGAGCTCTCACTGCCCTCTAAGGAATGTTGGGGAATAAATAAAACAAAGAGTGTCTGAGAAGCCCCAGTGAAGCTAAATCTGACATCTCCAGCCCTGAGTATTCCCACTCTGGCCAAAGCTCATTATCCAGCTTCCTCCTTACCTGGCCCTAGTGGGCGTCTACCAGGCATCTCAAATTTGTCTAAAACCAAACTTTCAATGTTCCCTTCAAATGAATTCTTCTCCATTTCAGCAAACAAAAGAACTATTTTTCCAGTTGCTAAAAGCAAAAACCTGGAAGGCATCCTTCACTCCTCTCTCTGATATTTGCTGCCTGTGGCACCATGGGTTAATGTCCTGGACTGCAAAGTCAATTTGAACCACAAGGTTGGCCATTCTAGCTCACCAGTTGCTCCTCAGAAATCCTATACAGGTTCATTATGGATCAGAACCAACTCTACAGCACTTAACAACAAAAACCACCAATCTACATAATTTCCAAGTCCTGTTGGCTCTACCTTCAACATAATCCATAATATAATCAGTATCTTCAATCTGAACTGCTACTATGTAGGATCTTTGTTAAAACCTTTCTGTCTTGGTTCCCCACTTTCACTGTTGGGCCCTTACATTTCATTCTCTATTCACAGCAAAATCAATTTTAAAAACCAGTTGCCATAAAACCAACTCTGACATATGGTGTATGTCAAATGTGCTCCATAGGACTTTCAATGGCTGATTTTTGGGGAAAGTAGATTGTCAAATCTTTTTTCCAAGGTGCTTCTGGGTATAGTCAAACAATAACCATTCTGTTCACACCTGAGCAGGTTTAACTGTCTGTACCACCCAGGAGCTCCAAGTGCAGCCAAAGTCATCTAAAACTCTAAATGAGCTCTTGTTTCTTCCTCCCATGACTTCCTATAGCACCTACAATGAGATTAACCCTCTTGGCTAGAGTTGGGAAGAGCCTTTTTTGTAATCTGTCCTCCTTCTATAACTGAAAGTCTTTTGACTTTCCATCTCTATCAACGAAGCTCAGCCACTTTGGCTTCTTTGTTACTCAAATACCAAATCATTTTCTGACTCTACACATGTTTCTTCTATTTAGAGCACTCTTTCTCCTGATCGTCTCATGACTGGTTTCCCTTCAGGCCAATCAGCTCTCAAGTTCAAAGTCATTCTTAGGAAGCCCTTCTTCCACCATGCTTTCTGCATTGCTTTCGTTCCCACCCCCTCAGCAAGCACATCAGCCTGTTTTCATTTTGCCTGTACCATTATCACACTGGAAGCTGTATGAGGACAGAGATATTGGCTATTCTGACCAGCACTGCAGACCTTATGTTTAGAATAGCATGTGGGAAAAGTAAATAAATATCCAGTGCTTATTTGTAGCGTGATTTAGATGAAGCAATAAAGCAGACTGGAGAGCAGGAAGGAACAAGAATATAGGTTTTAAAGCTAGGTAGACCTCAGTGTAAAAACTGCCACTGTGTGATGATGGTAAAATTATAGGCCAACTTCTATTATCGGCAAAATGGGAAATGTATTACTTGTTTTCATGAGTTGTTATACTGTTGAAATGATGTTTCCAGGTATACAAAGCATTTAGGAATTGGAAAATGGTAGGCAGTCATAAAATTAATTTCCTATTCTAATGTGGAGTCCTAGTGTTGTGCTGCTGGATAAAGCACTAGACCCCAAGGTCGGTTTGAAATGCAAGACCCTCACCAACTATTCCTATGAAACACTATACAGGATCACTATGAGTCGGAACCAACAAAACAACACATAACAACATTCTAATGTGAAAGGAGTCAAATTTTCCAAAGCAAGATACTAAAATACACGTAGTGCTTGCAGATTACTTCTCCAAGTCAAAATTTTTGATGGGTACAAACATACACACACACAGCTACATACACATTAAAACGCCCTCAATACAATATTTTCATGTGGATAGTACTAACTACAGTTACAGTATTCAAGAGTAGTTGCTGTTATTATCATTGTTTCCTAAAAGATCAACTAACCAACCACCAGGTTGTAAGTAGGATTTTCTGAGGCTTCATTTGAAACCAACCTGGGACTAGATGGAAAAATCACTATCTGTATCAACGTATGGGAGCACAGTGGCTCTGTGTGATAAGCAATTGTCTGTTAACCACCAGGTCAGTGGTTCGAACCCATCAGCCTCTCTATGGGAGAAAGATGAGGCATTCTGCTCCCACAAGGATTTATAGCCTAGGAAACTGGGTCACTAAGAGTTAGAAATGATTCAACACTACTTAACAACAATAATTAACTTATAAATGAAGGGCTTACTTCAAATATATCAGATACGAAAGAATATATAAACTTGGCTTTTGGAAACTATGCAATAAGACTTTCTATCATATGTCTAGAATAAGAAAACTCAAGAAGCTATTTGGTGAAGCCTGAAAATACTAATGGTTGGCACTTTAAAATAGAAACAACTCCTGGTATTTGTAATGTTTACCAATTGTTTAGTTTAGAGATTGTTAAGACTCTAAGAGAAGAATCCTTAAGAAGCCAGGAGCTCCTAAGTTAGGTGTGAATTCCATTGTGTAAACCAACAATACGTAGTTAAAGATTGATACAAGGTCAGTAGGTCATTGGATGTCCATCACTTTGTCCCCATTCAATGGCTAACAAAGCACTGATCAAGGTACACTTTCTTAGCATCAATTTGGATTCATCACAATGTGAGACATTCTGGCACTTCCTGAGAGTTTTCAAAGACTTTAGCCTTCTTGGGCGTTTTTCCTAGGCTGCTGTTCTGCATACTCGTGCTTCTTGCAACTTCCAAGTGAGTATGAAGAATCAGCCTTCCTTTTAGGAGTTAGTTGTAGAGATATTATAATGGCTTCATTAAAGAGATCACTTCAAGATGCTTCCCACTAACTACATGCTGAAACTGTAGATGTAAATTTTTATTTAGATGCTGATTTTTATTATTATTATAGCTTCAATAGATATGGGGAGTGATAGAATTGTTAGAAATAATAATACAAAAACAACATCATTCATATTTATTGAATCCTTACTATGTGTGGTTCATATAATAGAAACTTTCTTTGAATGACTGGTTTTGTGACCTTTTTTATAACCTGCATTTTTGCTTCTTGCTTTCTACTTCTCGCAGTGTTGTTTAACAATAAGATGGAGCATACTGTGTTTTACAGATATCATATCACTGAACAGAAATTCAAATGGGATGCTCCTGATCTGACAGATGCACAGGGGTACATTTTTCACCCTTTTTGACTCAGTGTATATTTAGGGTCAGAAGATAGCTTGACCATGAAGTTCAAATGACAATTCTCCTACATTCTCCTCCAGACTACATCTACATAGCAGGCACTCAAAGTATATTCAATGAAATCAATATTTATTGGGAAAAAAAGGAAGCTCTGTTAAATTTGTCATGAGAGTATACTCATTTCATGGGCCTCAAGGTTAACACTTGTTGTTAAGCGCCCACATCAGCTGTGATTCATAAAGATTCCGTATAGAGTTTCCAAGGAGCAGCTGGGTTTAAACTGCAAACCTTTTGGTTAATAGCTCAGTGCTTATCCTACAGTGCCACAGCAGGACTTTTGTGATCCATTGCTTGAGTCTGTGAGACACAATAATTCCATTTCTAAGGCACCAAACCAATGACTTCTAACACCTAAGACGTACAATATCATTCCTTTAAAGATTAAAGAAATACAAACACCATATTCATAGTCTAATTCCAAAAATTACAGACAGCCACTTTAAATAATATGATAATTTTTGGTACATTGCTTATTTATTTCAAAAACCTGTATCTGAAACTGCTAAGCAATATACCAAAAGAATTTCCAAGGTTCTGGGAAACCCAAATTTATCACAATGAAACTGAAGTTCTATCCAAGGAAGTTGGTCTGCAAAATTATTCCTTATCTATAATGTAAACATTTTCTGTGTCTGCTGTTGTTGTTGTTATGTGCTGTGGAGTCGGTTCCAATGCGTAGTGACCCTGTACAGGGTTTCTGAGGCTGTAAATCTTTACGGGAGCAGAAAGCCTCATCTTTCTCCCGCAGAACAGCTGGTAGTTTTGAACTGCTGACCTTGCGGCTCGCAGCCCAATTCATAACCACTACACTACCAGAGCTCCTTACAAGACAAATATTGTAACAATTCTAAACATGGACTTATTGGTCCTACTGTCACTCCAAGGCTTAATCTTACATGCTATTGAAATCAATTCAGCCCTGATAGCAAAGGGGCTTCTCAAGGCATTCATAACAGGTGCCTTTAAAAACAAAATATCAATACTGCTAATGACTAACGACAATGCCAAGTGAATTATTTGTTCCAGTGTATGTGTTTTAAGGGAATTAAAAGAATAAAAGGAAAGGGACTAATTATAAAGTACAACACAAAGCATTCTTCTTTGCCTCCTATATATTTTAATATTTTTTTCCCTAGAATAACATTCAAACTCTTTGATTCTTTGGGATATACATGTATATAATCTATTCTTACTTATATTCTTATTTTTAAGGCACTAAGAGTAATCTTTTGTTCATGTAACATATTTCTGTCATATGCATATATATTTGATATAATTATACTATAAAATCTTTTATGATACCACTATTTAATTATAAAGCATTACATTATATATGATTATGCAAATAAATCAATTTCTTTTTCTTTTTATATTTTAAATTTATTCTTTAAAACTTAAATATTTTTGGACACAAAAAAATCAGTTCTATGCATATGCATGCTAAGGAAATTGAAAATGGATGCATCTTGGTACTCACCCTCCCATATCTGTTGGCATAAGACCCGGTAAGCAAGGAATGGAAAACAATGATTGTCTCGTCCAAATCCCAGATGAATACCCTCTGCAAAGAAAGAACCAAACCAATGAGTCTCTACCTTGATCAAGAAATCTGTTATTTCAATTTCAAACATCAAAAGGAAGTCTTAAAATGGGAGACCATGGAATGGTCAATCATTCAAGCTCAAAAAGGCAGCATTTGCTTAAGGGTAAAGTTGAGAAGCGATGGGAAGGAGGATGGAACAGAAGTAAGAACTACAGGGAGGAAGTGGGATGACTGTTTTAAGGAGGGGATTGCTATCACTGAGATGAAACAAAGTGTATGATTTGTTGAATGTAAACCTGATGATCTGCTCTGTAAATCTTCACTCAATTTATAATTTTTTAAAAACTGGGAGACAAATTAAAAAATGAATGTTCAGCTTTTAGAAATAAGCATTTTTGAAGCATGTCTCCCATCTTTTTTTTCCAGGTGACACCTCAGGTGAGGCAGAAGAGGAGACCTGTCGTACCAATACAGATAAAAAGATAATGTGCTTTCTACTTCTACAGCAGATTATCATCTTAGTTCTGGGTAAATAAAAATATTTTGTAACTCTTCTGTTCATAGCTTCTGAGGTAGAGTTAGGCAACAATCAATTAAATATCATTAACTTGACCTTTCCTTCGTCTTTGATTTCTATTCATTAAGAAGTATGAGAACAATCTTAAATTTTACCCTAATGAGGCCACATATTAAAATGTTGCATATTAAAAACTAAAATTTTCTTTCATCTCTTCATTCCCTACTGGGCTTGTCACCTTATGGATAAAGCGTATGTTACTTCTGCCAGTTTTGTTCAACTTTCACATTATCAATATTGACTAACTCAAATACATCATATCATACATGCTCTTAACCACACTCTTTGAGCGCTTGGAATCAAATGTAAAATAAAACATTTCCAAAAGATCTTTGAGACATCACAGAAAGCCTCTCCACCCGGCTTTCTTCCTTCATTCTCACCAGTACCTACTCATGCACAGAGATTCCACTGGGAGAAAAAGTCACTGTTTCAGCCAACATAATCATGTTTTTCACCATCAGATTTCACTTTGACAAAAAGCAGAAAGCTAATTGCAGTGGATTCAAAGGTATGAAATTTACCACTCTTTAAGGTCTTATTTAATCCCCTCTGCTTTTGAACTCCACCAAAACATGTCTCATAAAGTGATTACCATTTCAGTTTAGAACATTTCAGGGTTTTCTTTCTCAATATACACAAGTTTGTGTCTTCAATTTCAAGGTGTATTTTATTAAGCAGTTTTAGTACTACACTTACTTAATTGAAATGGCAATTACATAGAGTAGGATGAGAATTTTGTACAAGCAGAATTACATAATTTGCTGTATATTTCTTAGGAGATTAACCAATGCTTTACAATATAATTCAAATGAAAGATAATAAATACTGCTCTACCATACAATGTTTGAAGGAAAAAAATGTATTAATATTAATACATTAATTATGGAATGATTTACCTAATTAATTAATGTAGTTAATATGAAAGGCAAAGTAGTCATAAAAGCATGTGAATATCTTGATCACTCCCATATACATCTGTTGTTGTTGGGAAGTGTTATTAAGCATGGTTCTGACTCACAGGGACCCTGTATAGGGTTTATGAGGAGCGGCTGGTGAGTTTGAACCACCAGCCTTGAGGTTCAAACCAACCAGTGCATAATCTCTCAGCAGCACACCAGGACTCCCCCATTTACAAGTTGTTGTTGTCGTCAACTGCCTTCAAGTCAGTTCTGACTCAGCGACTCTGCATAGGGTTTCCAAGGAGCAGGCTGATGAGCTTGAACCGCTGACCTTGAAGTTCAAACCAACTTTGCATTAACCCACAGTGCCACACCATGACTAACACTTACATAGGAGGCATGTAAAGCAATTGAGCTGATAAGACATCCTGCTATTGACCTGGGGCATTGACAATAACATACCTCAAGATCAGAATCAGGAGGAGGTGAGGGGTTATTGTTTCTTCGTCCGCGTCCACGTGATTTTCCATCTGAACCTCGACGTAATCGATCAGAATCTGAGTCTTTAATGGGTGTTGATGGACTATGGATTGTACTGTATTCTGTAGAAAGACAAGAAGGTTTTTCATCATTTTGTTAAGTTACCACAGAGAAGAGGGTCAAGACTAAAAACCTTGTTTTAATCCACAGGCAAAGTGCATTTCATTCTGCTAAAGTTCTATAGTATCTTTCACTTGCATTGAAGAATAATTTATAAGACATATGATTCTAACATTTATTTTGAAAGACAGTGTAATCAGGAATAACAAATATTTAATTGAGGGTGAGAGACAACAGGTTGTATGTAGTGCGTTGCTGTAGCCGAAGATAGTCTGTGTGACTCTCTCTGTGATTAGACAATGCTTGTTCCATGCCCATCCCTGCTTCTCTCCAGCCACAGTGCAAGACTCACTCGTGCCTGTGTGTCTCGGCAGCCACTCTCCAAACTACAGAAATCTTTCCAGTTCATGGAATGAGATGACAAGAAAAGACAGCTCACAGGCAGAGAAAACTGAGTGATCAGCCAGATTTTTCTTAGAAAAATGTAAATACCATTTTCTGATCACCTTATCTTGTTCCTCGCTTATTCTCACTTTAGGGGAGGGAGAAAGTGATGGCTGCTGTACCGAGTTATGTGATGCCAATCATAGTCTATGCCCACGTCTAATTCTCTTTGAACCCAAACTCTAAAACTGCAGCCATTCAAATTCCTCAGATGAACCAAATTCTGGAAAACCATTGAGCTAATTTCATGGAAATCACAAAATAACTAAGAACCATCCCCAAATAGTTCATAGGAATGAAGCATTGGCTATGGAGTGTGCTTAGAAGTCAATAAAAGCCATTTATTCTCGTCCTATAAGTATGTCTCCCTCACCCCCAGCAGGCCTTTAGGTTAGTTCAGCACATCAGACAATCTCCAGCTCCCCCAAATTCCAGATGTGTCAGTACGCTTGCTTTTCCTTCTGAGCTCTTTGCCAGATTTCTGAACTAGATATGGATTGGAATTGATCAATTTAATAGGAGGGATAGGCAGCCATTTTGCATGCTTGCTCACACTATGTTATTGTTGACATTACATTTCACCAGGTGGAAAACTATGGAGAATAATTAAAGACCTGTTTGTTGTTGTTATGTGTCATTGAGTCGGTTCTAACTCAGAGCAAACCCATACAGCGTTTCTGAGGAGTGACTGGTGGGTCTGAACCACCAACCTTGCAGTTAAGTCTATAGTTAGCTGTCCAGTGCTCATCCTACATCTCCACACCAGTACTCCAAAGACCTGACTGTTGTTGTTAAGTGCTACTGAGTTGAATCCAACTCATACTGACACATATAAGGTTTCCAAGGAGCAGCTGATGAGTTTGAACTGCCAACTTTGCAGTTCAAACCAACCTTGCGGTCCAGTGCTTTATCCCACAGTGCCACACCAAGACTCCTTGTTGTTTTTGTTAAGTGTCTTCCAGTCGGTTCTGACCCATAGCGACCGTGAACAGGGTTTCCAAGGCTGTAAATCTTTACGGGAGCAGAAAGCCTCATCTTTCTCCCACAGAGCGGCTGGTAGTTTCGAACTGCTGA